TCTGTCAATTTGGGTCGGCGGTCTTGCCCTGATCTGCGTCCTGTCGTATCCCGGTCGGTGTACCGGTCGGTTTTCGGTCAGTGTCCCGGTCGTGTCTTGGTCGTTGTTCCGGTCGGTGTCCTGGTATTTCCCCGTCAATGTGTCGGTCGTGCGTATCCTGGTCGTGTCTTGGTCGTGTCCCGGTTGGTCGTTGAGTTCCGGTCTTGTGGTGTCATGGTTGCACCCGCACGCCTGCCAAGTGTCTGCCATACACACACACACACATATATATATATATACAGACACGCACATGCATACACATATACACATGCATATACATGTACATTTACGTAGAAACACATATACGCACATGTACACATACATATACACACACATACACATACACATACACATACACATACACATGCACATACACATATACAGATACATACATACACATACACATATACATACACACAAATATATACATACGCACAAATACATACACACAAATATATACATACATACATACATACATACATACATACATACATACATACATACATACATACAGACATACATACATACATACATACATACATATTTTCTAGCGAGCACAGTGAGCTCCCAAAAGAACCTGGTCTTTGGATCAATCAAAGCCAAGAAGTGTGTACACCTTTGCGGCTCAACACAACAGCACCACGTCAACTATGATGATGTTACACAGCAGGGGCTGAAAGGCTCGGTGCGCCATCATCTGGAACTAAAAAGGATCTGGCCTTTGAAGAGCCTGTTGCTTGATCGTCTGGAGAGGGGAATCCTTGTGGGGATGAAACATGGCTATGCGACCTACTATTTGCTTATATACGTCAGAAAAGGTCTCCAGCACCCATTCAGATTTGGGGCGACCCACCCTCCTTGTCAAAACAGTTCCAGGCCTTTGGTGGTCGGAATGAAAAACCACCTGACCTGGTTAAACGGGTCTGAACTTGTTACTCTCAGGATGTGACCAAAGAGCCTCAGCTTAGCATAGCTAAGCGTGTCACCGAAGTGCCCAACTTACGGAGATAGATTTGGCGAATTTCCTGGTACATCCGTTGATTTGTTTGCTCTCTGTATTTCAAAGTTCATCACGTGTATACATTCAAGCTCATACAAAGCTTTGATCTTATGAGTGCATTAAACACTTGGATTTTCCATTTGACTGATGTGTTAGCCCTTTTCCAAACGATCGCAAGTCGATTGCACGTCGCTTTGCAATCTCCCAATCTGTTGGCTATTGCCGCCACTTATTGTCGAATGCGTCAGCGAGCAAAGTGGCGAGGTATGTGGCTGATCTCTGTCCTGGGACATGAACATCCTTGGATTGCTGCAGGATTCGCACATTTCCCACAGTTCAGTTTCAACCCATGGTACGCACTATGCCTTTCAATTGCATGCAATAGCTTGTTAATAAATTGCATGTTAGCTCCAAATGTTAGAGTGTCGTCTGCAAATAGGATTGCAGAGAAGTAAATACCATCTAATGGCTGGAGTGGTCATGGTGTGCATACAAGTAGTTCCATTTTAATGTCTGCGAACAGAACCGCCATAAGTGCACATACCTTACTTATGCCAGAATATTGAAGCTTTCATTCATACTCATTGTTTCCCGGAGCGTACTTTGAAATCAGGGTTAGCGTAGAAATCTTTGATTAGCCTGTAAAGTTTGTCTGGTACTGGCAAGCGACGCAAGCACTATGTTGGGATTCATAGCCAGGCCATTATTCGGATCAGTTTTGGAGTCAATAGAGTGCTTTTGAGAGCTTAGTTTTGCAGACTAGGACCCAGGTTATCAGGGTTATCACAGCTACCACTACGATCTCTTCTAGCTGACTAAGGTTGTAAATTCAATAAGAGAAACATCGGGGTCAGATTGAGGCTACTATGGATGGTCTTAGGGCTGCTGTCAGGGCGAATAATAAGGTCACCATTGCCATAAGCGCGAATGACGGATAGGGTGGGTGATGTTGCTTAGAATCAGGAGTCAGTTAACATCGAGTACAGGTGTAACCTCACAAATACTCACATAAGTTTACATACACAAATACTCACATAAGTTTACATACACGCATCCGCGCAAGTCCGACAGCCAGTCCAACATGATCATATACAACAGTGAGAAGGGGATGTCATATACAATATCTTGAGGTACGTCACTGTAAACAAACAGATGCTTTTATCATCATTCCTAAGTCTAACAAGAAGGGCCACCTTTGGGGCAACGCCAGAGCGAAGACAGCTAAGGGTCGCGATTCTTAACGGAATTCGTTCTTGGTTAGTTGTATGAATAAGAAGGCTACCGTTGAGGTAAATGTTTCGGCAGACTGTCACTGAACTGCCAATGTTTAGTGTCCTCGGTTACAACCCATGCTTAGAGGTAGGCTCTGGAAGTGGGTGACATATCTATGAGCATAAATATGTCTACATACGCATGAAGTCCCAATGTAGGCATTTATGTTGTGCGTGCATGCCTGCGTGTGTTCATTCATATAAGCATGTTTGGACGCCAGGCATGCATGGCCGGATGTTATGTATTTATGTATGCATGTATTTGGGCATGTATGCCCGTATGTCTGTATGTCTTTGTGTATGCTTGCTTGTGTTACATCCACAGGAGGAGGATGATGCTCTCCAGCGCTCAATTCGTCGATTCTATGTCTTGGGATTGCACTTGCTGCCAGCTTCGTCTTCTGCTCCTGCGCCATTCGGTGACCGTAAGGGGGGATCAGTCAGCCCCAGGCGAGGAAGATAAACCACATGTAGCAATCACCTGGGGCGTTTCCTTGTCATACCACCCCAAAAGAAAGTCGTGCTCGTATATCGCGAAAACAGCCCACCAATCCTAAGCGAGTGATTCTCGTCGAGATGACATTCACCGATGCAGCGAAGAAGTGGTGGGCAGCAGGGCTGCAATAATTTGGGCGGACGAGGTTGCGGGGCTTCATTGGAGTCCGTTACAAGCTACACAACAGAGTATAGGAACCGCATAATATAATACATATATATATATATATGGGCCCACTGATGTGCGAAATCGGCCTGTCCTCGACCATTCGAGCTTCATCCAGCAGCTGCTGTGCCTCAGGCGCTGCGCGACTCAACCAGTGCAGCTCGCCCGCAGGGCCCCTAAACCCTAAACCCT